CACATGCTTTGGGAATTCCACTTAAAACAAGCAATTTTTAAAAAAAATTATAGAAATTAGCTAAAAATGTCCCACATGTCTCCCTCAGTCCTCTACTCTCAAACAGTTCAGTAATTAGTGGTTCACATTCAAATCATAAGGAAGCCAGATTGAGCTCCTTCTCTTCTGTTCTCCCAATAGAGCACCTTACCCCCTGCAGGGTCATAAAGAGACTGAGATTGAAAACTCTCCTGTCAGAGATATTATGCTTGGGGTAAATAATTAAATATCCAGTGGAGAATAAAAGTGAGCCTGGGTCTTCCTTAGCCCAAGCTATTTGCTTTACACAGCACCTGCTCCTTCTTTCTTCAAACAGAAATTCCATCCTGAAGCTGAAAAGTCTTTCCCAACAGAAGTTTCTTTGAAACTGGAATATATTAATGAAAAAAAAATCTGGTTTACAGATTTTGTATTTTTGCATTTAAAAACCCCTGAAAATTCTATTTGGAAAAATTCTCAAGCAGCTCTGTGCATAGACTCCCTGCCCTTTGACCCTTTGCTGTACCAGTTTTCCCAAATCCAAGCTGTGGATATCTAGAACGTGGTATTTATGTACCCTAGCAGAAGGTAGCTGCAGGAAGCAGTGGGTGATCTTTCTGAATCCCCTTCCTTATCATGCTGTTCAGCATAGGGCTGGGAGCACCTTTCCTCTTTCTTTATTATTCCACAGGTCCGGGAGTTAGTTTACTCCAAGATCTGCAGTTTGAGAGGGTAAAAAAAGGAAATAAAAAATCTATCTCCTGGATGGACAAAAATATTGTCCTGAAGGCTTTGCTGGGATGTATAAGGGTATTCTGGATCTGTCTCAGTCAAACAGGGATATTGTGTTAACCAATCCTCTGCTATACCCTGGCATCATGCCATTAATTTTAATATCACTCTAGCAGTTTATACTAGTTAATCATCCCTACCAAATGTTTAACACATGCATTGCCCACTCTCCCACACACACAAGTACATCACTCTCTGTCTTGATTTTCACTTTCTAATAAAATCTCACAGTTTTTCCTCCCATTGGTCTCTGGATTTACTTCTTTTCCTCCCTATGCTACACAGACATGTTTTATTCTTAAAATTATTCAACATTCATGCTAGTTTATGTCCTTTTTAAAATTTCTATATGAATCACTGTCTGCACTGCTTTTCTCATATTAATTTTAGTGGGTATTCTTCAGCACGTGTTTCTTGTAGTCTATTACTGGTTTGTTTCAATGCCATCCTCATGCCTATAAGCTTCATTTTCTGGGTGTTTCTTTCCAATGTACAACTATGGCACCTAAGTGAAGCAATTTTGCTTTCACAATGTAGATACTGGCCAACAACAACAGTATACTGCAAAAAGCTTGATTAGAAGCTTTACACAAAGAGGACAAAATCCATTCATCAGCTTAGGAAATGTGAATTAGTTTTATATGTCATTCTTCCTCTCTATCTTGTATCTGTATGCCCATGTGAAATTGTTCCTCCAAGTATATCTAGGGATCAAACTGAATGCCAGGATATGACAGGAGCATATGTAGGAAAAACCTATCCCTATTGCTCACTTATCAAGATACTGGAAAGAAATACAAAGAAAAGGTCCATCAAAGAACTGTATCACATCCCCTGGCTTCTTTGAAATGGAAGTTTTGCTACCAAGGTCAACAGCATGAGGACTATACCCCTTTCTTTTTCCCCTTATCCATACTTGACTCACATATTCTCACTTAATGCTTTTCTATCTGAGTTCCTAACAGACCAGAAAACATTTATATTCACCAAATCCCTGTGGTATAGGGAAAGTGCCATTATCCACATCTTACCCCAAATCATTTTCTTTATGCTGGAGTTGGCTAAATGCAGCCCAGTTACTGAGATACTGACTTGCTCACCATGGGAAATGCAGAAAACATAACTAGAGAGATTGGATATTTGCTTTGATAATGTAGAAAAACCGTGCTGCTGATTGAGGTATCACAAATAGAAGAAATTAGGAGGGACAAATTCAAATCTGCTTTACCCACTGCAGCTATCAAAGTATGTAGGTGAGATAATACACAGGCATCTGCTGAACTCAGGTGTGGGACTATTCTTGCTCACCTTGTGTATCTTTCCCCATCTTTCTTTCCCCTAGAAATTTCACTGCTAATCAGCACTATTAGAATAGGGTACCAATGTGATTCTGAAATAACTACCTGTAAATTCAAGTAAGCTGTTAAGTAAATGCTGTTACTTTTCAAAATGTTTTCTTTAATGGTAACAGCTTTTGGTAAGAATGCTTTTATGGTAAGCCCATTTCATTACATGAAGAAAGACAGACAGACAGAGAATACCCAATGATAAATACTTCACATAGGAGTCTGTGATTCACGATATGCCAATGATACCTGAACTGTGACACTTGAGCTAGAGATATCAACCAACAGTTCTGGGACTGGTAGACAAGTATGCACATTTGATCAGTCCTATTTTATATTGCTTTTAATTTTACTGCATTGTCTGTAATGAGGCACAGTCATGGTTCATATGGTCAATGCACAGGGATACGATGATGCTTTCTCTTCAGTGAAATATATTGACATGAATGTGAAAAGTAAACACTCTCTGCTAGAACTATTCTATAACTTCTATGCACATTATTTGACAGTTTGGATGCTCTATAAGTCTGAGAAAGACTCATCTATATAGCAAAGAGGATGACTATAGGCAGAGTAAAACACAGGACTTACCCCTATTGTTCCAAAACTTTCAGGCTTTCTTCTAATTTTTTTCTTGCAAAGGTGTCTCCATAACCACTTGATAAGATACCACAGAGATTTTGGGCTTGGTATGACATTAAAAGGAGTGGGCAGAGTTCCTCCTTCTTCAAAGTAACTCATCCAGAGTTTTGTTCGAGCAAACTTCCACTCAATGTCTGCATGATCCTGCACACGTGAAACACACCATCAGCACAGGTATAGCTGTAATTAATGAGGTGAAACAAATCTTTGCAAAAATCCTAAACCCTAAAACTGGAACAAGTCTGAAATACTAATGAATTTTCTTGCTAAAATACTGCCATCTTCATTTGACAAAAAGTCTTTAATACAAAGCGAAGCTAAGCTGCTTTACTTCAGTAGAGACGTTTGGTTTGTACAGTATATATCCACTTATCATTCCTTTCCCTGTTACAAGCTTTTAAATAATTCAAAGTCTCTCAAAAAACTTACAGGATAATTACAACCAGAAAAATGCTACATTTCTGGGAGAGATGTTTTGATAGCAGCTCATTATTATTCCACATAGATCACTCTAATCATGCTGCTCTGCAGCAGCTTCAACAAGTCAGTAAGTCTCATGCACTCCCTTAGTAATTGCCAGCCTCCAAAATTCATACATAAGTTATCCAACAAAACATGAGGCTACTTAAAACTGTTGAGTCAAGCATCCTTTTTTCCTTCTACTTCAGAATGATATGTTTGAAATAGGTTCTGGGATAAGTTTTTTATTTTTATTAGAAATTTTATTTCTTTAGGATTCTAAACAGAATTGTATAATTCTGCAAAGTTTAGAGAAATCAAAACTAAAGTCTGTGGAAAGATTGCTAAATGATTGCAGCTGAACAAGAAGTTTAAATCACTAATATTAGATTTGGATAACAAACATAGTAGCCAAGATCTTAAACTACAGTCTAGCCCTAGCCATACAGTAATCAAAACAGTAATGCAGAAGTTGTAGTAGGAAAATATTCTACTTGCAGTCCAAGTTTTGGCAAATGGTACTATGTAGTGATACTGTCCACCAGACTTTGCAAACTAGTGTTATATAAATATGGGTAGTCAGCATTTCTTTTGTGGAAAAAATTATATTGTCTAGATTTGGGAAAAAGGCACATATTAAAATCTTAAGACTTTTGATTGCTTTCTGCATGACCATGTTTGAATTATCATATGATGAATCAGTGTTTTTTTTTTCCTTAGTCTTCTTAATAGACAGTTGAGAAATAAAAATAAGCCAATACCTCTCTTAAGGATAAAGACAGTTATCATTACAGAAGAAAACAGGACACTGCTGAATTGGAAGACATGACCTTTTGTTTGAATTGCTAATGGGTCCAAAACTGTCCATGCAACATAAACAGCCAATTTCTTGGTAACTGTATATTCACACCAGATGAAAATGAAAAATAAAATCAGTCTTTCAAATGCTAATAAATATAATGCATCAAAAATAAAGCAGAGACATAACAATCTTGGGCAGACTCTTTTTCAGAAGAGGTCCTACACAGTGGAGCTTGAGCAGGGCTGTAGCTCATGCCACTTGCCAGAAGCACCAGTACACCTTTCTCAACCCTGGCTTGTTCCGCAGGGTCAGCTTTTGCCTGTTCAGCATTGCAGGGAAATTCCCCTCTGCCCAGTCTAGCTTGGTTTCTATATCCTTCCAGAACAGTGCAAAAGAATTAGAACAAATCAGAAAATTTGTGCCAATGGCCTGCCTGCAAAATGTTTTATTGCCAGGAAACTGGGAAGTAGGAACAGATAGAAGGTATACACTTGAAATCATCTAAGAATAAGGAACAACTTACAGCAATAAGTTGGTAAGAATTATTCATCATGGCTATTAGCATGTTGAGTAGAACAACCAGAGATATTACATTATAGGTACCAAACATGGTGGCCCCAACAAATTCAGTAAATTCATGCCTTGCTTTCACGTTGGTCACATAGAGATTGATGAGTCCAAATATAGACCAGAATAATGACTGCAGAGTTTCAAATAATCTGAAAAACAAAACCCAAAAAGGAACAGCTGCATACTAACAACACATTTAGATTTCAGATTGTTCAGTTTTTCCCAAACATACACAGAAGTCCTTGACTTGACTGAGATGAATGATACTTAATCACAATATAGGCAACATAGAGGAAATATCTCTAGTGAAACAATGGCTTAATGCTTCAAGTCTGAGCCTCTAGATATACAAGATAGAATCTATAAATAAGGCTGATTTTGTTCAAACTTCTGAGGAATAAATATAGTTTTGGATATTTTATGTTGGACACTTTCCTTTGAAGTATTTTGACCCTTTGCCTTGACTGTAGAGGGTAGAATAAGGGATCCAAAAGTAACTCAATGATTGTGTTTCACCAGGATGTTGAAACAAGTATGGTATCCTCAGATCTACTCACTTTATGTAATTCTAGTTTGTGTTGAGAGCACTGAGATAAAAGGAGCTGTATAATTAGAAAGACATTATTATCATTAGCATATGTTTTGTTTTGCAAAGAATGGAGACATGAAAAAGACAAACATGCTGCTCTCAAAAGAAACTCATGCTTTTTATAATGGAAGTATATGATATTCCCTTAGAGAAGTTTGGGACAACAGCTAGGAAGCCAGTAACATGACAAAATGTAAAAAATAATGCTCTGCAACTAGATAGCTTGAAAAAATTTCGCTTTTGTACAATGTTCAGCTACACTATAGTGTCATAAGCATGGGCCCTCGTTAGACCCTTTGCTCTTCAAAAGTTTGGAGCAAAGTTTTCTGCATATCTGGCCCTATATTTTGAGATTAATTAGAGCGAATCTTCCTCATGTGTCTCTCCTGCTACTTATCCAGGAAGTACCTGACACCAGAAGCAGGTTTCCCAGGCAGTATGTGTGGGCCACCAGTGCTGTCCCCACCGCACCCAGAGCTGGGAGGCTGCTAAACTGCTGGGACTCGTACCACCCTGTGTCGTCCTGCACACTGGGATGTGCTGTCCAGAACTGGGCAAAATCTAATCCTTCAGACAGAGCCCTTCCCACCATGTGGTATCATCTGTGAAACATAACTTTGGCATGCAAACCACTACAATGCTGTCCTAGAGAGATATTCTGAGAGGACAGAAGACTACCACTTACAGAAACTCAAGGTCCTGCATCTCTGCTCCTGCAATACAGTGTATACTGATGGTAAAGTACTGCTCTGGAGCCTCTTGTATGGTTTGCAACTATCTAAGCACAAACTGAACAACCACTATTCTCCCCTGCTCACAGTTGCTGAAAAGGCTCATAAGGCATTGCAGTTTGCCTTGACACCACCTTCTGGCACTAGTAGCAGTAGTCCCCACTATTTCCCAGATTAATAATATTGCTTCCCTCAATATTGAGCTCTGAAAAATTTTCCTGTGCTTTTCTGTTCAGATCACTTAAAGTTTAGACCTGCGTAGATGTTATTAATATCCAAGATAAGTATGTTGTGACTGAGAAAAGTTACTTGATTAAGATGACATAAAAGCTGTTATTTTTATAAAATTATTTACTTTGAGAAGAAGCCATTGGTAATAAATATCTTTTAAAAACAGTCCAGATACACAGAAGTTAATCGGGAACAGACATTTATAGCAGGAGTTTGATTCAGGTTGGAAGCTGAAAGATGAGATAGAGAATTAGTGTTCATTTGGTAGTGTCTTGGCACTACTGATGAATTAAAAACCAGAATGAAGTAAAACTGATTTTTAAGTGAAAGAAAAACAAATACTTTATAACAGAAATTAGCATAGAAATTCGACTGTGTAGAGTACACTTACGGTCAGTAGAAGCCTCAACTGAATGTTTTTTCCTGCCTCAGTTTATCACATTTACAAGGAATCTTTACCAGACTTATTTGATGCCCACAAGTAGACATGGAAGAAATGTAGAGCGACAGCTTCTTGGATAAGCAAGCTCTGATCTGGTGCCCTTAATTCTAAATATGTACCTTTTAATCTCATATATCTTCCTCCTATCTTTATTTTACCTTTAATCTTTTGAGGTATCTTGAATTGTACAGACTTCACTGTGGTATGGGGTGAACATTGTTACAGAGTGATGCAATGTAAATATTTAAATTTTTTTTAATTAGGCTAATATTAGATGTGTTTGTCAGGACACCGCTGAAACACCAATAGAAAACAGAGCCTCTTTCCTGTAAACAGCATCTAAAGGATTAAAATATTTGGGGCAGAAGGGAAGCATAGAAATAGATCAGCCACTTACGTTGAAAATGCATTATTCTGCTTTTCACATCGTATTCCTTTGCAGTTGCCAGGTTCATTTGTCTCATAGTAGAAGTACAGCTGGTTCAATCCATTTGCAAAAGCTAGCAGCACAAGGCAGTATATGAAGAGAAATTTCAAAATGTCCAGCAACATTCTTCCTAGAGATATCTGCAGTGGCCCCAGGTGAGAATTTGCAGTGAATAATGAGATCAAGCGCAGGGAGCTAAAGATGTTTGCAATTGCAAACAGGGCCTCAGCCACCAGGGTTGGATGCCACATGTCCCAGCTCTCCCGTGGAACTAACCCACTATACTGAAAAGAAGAAGAAAGGAAGAAATTACTCCTCTATTTTTATGCATAAGCAAGTTTGTAGTTTTCTTTATAACCTGTTAAATTAATTTGCAGATATCACAATAAATTTTCACAGTAGCAAAAGCAAGTCTAAAAATTCTGATTGAGCAAAAGGAACAGTTTCAAACACCTGACTTTTAAGAATTATAGAAACTTCCAGCTGTAAAGTAAGGTAAATTATTTCTTTGGAGAACAGTGCAGGGCTGACAATGATGGATAGAAACACACAAGAAATTTGGCAAGTTAGAAGAAAACATTCAGTCAAGGAATAAATATATCACTTAATCACTAGTACTGGACCAATGATGAAAAAGCTGTTTATTAATGAACCATGGCAAACTGCTTGTATGTCTCATTATCACATAGTCTGATCCCTGGAACTGTGAATATTTCCTGTTCCAGCTCTACTTGAAGATGAAAGATGTTACTCTGAACTGAGGCTTAACTACTGTGTCAGACTCATTATTATTTATTTGGTCTCATTAGTCCGTCTTATAGAACATATCAGAGGGCAGAATCTATGCTATGCAGCACTCTAAAAAAGAGGGATAATATAATGCAAAGCAGATTTCAAACAGGGACTATGGTGCAGTCTGTCATCACCTCATCTAGGCTACACATATACATCCTTCAACGAAAATGGTCGGGAGGATGGAGATGAAAATGGTCAGAAGGAAGGAGCACCTCTTCTCTGAGGAAAGGCTTTGAGTGTTGGGGTTGTTCAGCCTGGAGAAAAGAAGACTCTGAGGAAACCTTACTGGGCCTTCCAGTCCCTCAAGAGGGCTTATAGGAAAGATGGAGACAGACTTTTTAATAGGGCCTGTAGCCTGCTCATATAGACGGAGGTAGCCACTTTAATAGGCCTGTATGGGACATGAGCTAATGGTTTTTAATTGAAAAAGGGTAGACCCAGACTAGATATAAGGAAGAAAGTTTTTTTACGATGAAGGTGATGAAACACTGGCACAGATTGCGCAAAAGAGCTGGTAGATGTCCCATCCTTGGACACATTCAGAGTCAGGCTGGATGGGGATCTGAGCAGCCTGATCTAGTTGAAGATGTCCCTGCTTATTACAGGGGCATTGGACTAGATGACCTTTAAAGGTTGCTTCCAACCCATACCATTCTATGAGTCTGTGATTCTACAATACAAATTGTGGATGGGAACTGTGCATTGTTTTGAACACTGACAGTTTGCACAGGACCCCACCACACAAGGGTTTCTCTAATCACCTGGTAGTGCATGTGAGACTCTCCCAGTGCCTGACACCAATCCGTGGCACAATTTCATTTCCTCGTATACAAGCAGCCATACCAGCTGACAGTTTTGTGGATTTGGGGATGAGAACTGCAAAACTGGAGAACACTCCATTGAAGAGTTAAGAATTACTCACCCTTGCATTTCTTTGAGCAGTGATATTTGTTCTCTACAGAGCAGGGAATTAAACCCAGACCTGCTGGAGTCATCGGTCAGTACTCTTTTAAATAGACTATCCTCTCCCTAATAATCACGCTGTAACATAAAGTCTTAGTGCATTTGGCATTTTGAGAGAGATGATCTTCTGCCTCATCAACTATTGCCTGCCCTTCAGTCCAATTCTGATTGATTCAAGATCAGTGCTTAAAAACAAGCAGTAGAAAACAGAATTTATTTACCAGAGACAATAGCTAGGAGATAAAACAAGAAGAAAAAGCAGAAGACAATTTTTTCAGTGTTCATTGAAAGAGCTGAAAACTCCCCAGCATGATTCCTATAATGTCTTTCTTTGAATAATATTATACAGCACATCACTGCAAATTCTCATGGCACTTTACAACCCCCATGGCTGAAAACTTGTACCTATTAAATAACTAGGAACAATTTTCAGCACAAAGAAAGATTAGGTACCGAACAGTGCAGTAGTTGTTCAGATTAGGGAAAAGTACACAAGGTAAATTGAGGGAATAAAGCAATACATATTCACAACAAAATACAAAGAACATATTTGAAACTAGGACTAGATGGAGCTTTTGGTACAGAATCCAAAGCATTGAACTGCAGACATTTTAGGTGAGGGCAAGCAGTGGCAAATTCCATGGAAGTTAAAGAAGTGGGGGAGATAGGGGAAAATCTAAGGAAATACTTTTCTGAGTAAACCAAACTACAGGATACTGAATAAGTATAGCAAACAATAGAGCAAAAGAACCAGGATCAAGTTTAACAAATCAGGTGTGGACAGCTATATCTGTGCTGTCACCTCCTCTTACAGACAGCAAAGAAAAATGAGAAGTTCTAGGGTAGGAGGAAAGTAGATATCCCGAACAGGTCAGATGAGTTGCTCTTTCTCATTTTCTCCTCATTGAGTGCTGGGGAAGGGGAGAGGCTGTCTTACAGTGGCGTCTTGCTAGATGTATCCAATGTCATATCTTCCAGAAGAAATGAGGTTAAGGAAAAATGTGAGAATAAAGGACTTTGCCTATGATGTCCTGGATCAAGACACAAAACTCTTTTTTGATTCAGAAAAGATCAAATGACCTCTTATTTGTAAAATAAGGCACAACTGTGTTATTTTAGCTTAACTGATTCTTAACTGGGCCTTTTTTGGGCCCAAGTGCTTCCTGCACATGTGGATACAATTCAAAAGGTGTTGTGGTTGTAAGCAGGGAGTGATGGCTGTTTCGTTTTGAAGAAACATGATTTAAGAGACTGGAAGTACTTGGCAGAAAAAAAGTCGGAAAGGTGAAGGCCTGAGAAATAAGTTTGGAAATGATCTGTGAAATATACTAACTGAAAGAAGACTGCAAATAGTATAAAGAAAGTAATGAGCATAAGAGGACTCTAACAAAAAAACCCTATTGATTCCACTAACAAGTAGTGGATGCTGAAAGGTAATCTCTAGAAATATCAAAGCAAAACGTGGAGAATAAAGAAGCTTTCATGTTAAAAGGAAAATAAAGCAGAGGAGACTAGGTATACTAAAACCAGGAACAGTGGAAACAAAAAAAGCAAAAAAGGAGAAAAACTGTATCTTAGGGCCAAACAAGCCAAAACATGCAGAATTGAAGTATCTGTTCTTTCTCTTATGTTTGTTGATGTTGGTCTGTTCTATACAGAATAAATAAATAGTTATTTTTCTAGGGAATGGAAAATGGTAAAAGCAAATTCAGCAATACTGAGCTTGCTGTAAATCATGATGTTGGTACTCTGCAGTCCTCTATTGTTTTGTGACCCTGATGAATTTCTCTTCCCACTTGAAATGCAAACACAAACTTTTGACATGTAACAAAGCCAACCATCACTTAATGTGATTAAATAATATCTATTAGTGGTTCATTGGTTGAAGGAAATGTACATGGCACATCAATGAAAAATTAACAAGGGCAGAAAACAAATAGAGCAGCATATAAACAGTAGAGTTTCAAGGCAAATATATCATGCCTTTGCGATGCCACTCAGGAAATATAAAATAATAATTCTTGATCCTTACTCAAATGAACTCAAAGGCAAATCTAATATCAGAACCATTTATAAGAAAATATCCGAGTGATCACTCTTTTCCCGTTAAAACAAAAGACATGATTTGTAGATCTCATGAAAGCACCAAGAGAGATCACACAGACATGTAGCTCAGGCTACCGGAATGTTTAATGGGCTGCTGGACCTTGGTCAAAGGTGACCCCCTTGTTTCTGATCACAAAACGTTAAACAATATCCACTTCAAGAAAAGTACTTTAAATCCTTTCCTGAAAGGTCATATGTAAATGTGAACCCTTCCTATTTTAAAATCTTTGTCCCAATCTTTGCATTCACTATGCTGAATTTCAGAGCAGCAGTAGGAAGAAGGCAGAGGAATGGCCTAGCAGAGAGCTTTAAAATGGTAATTACACTCAGGGAGGAAGGAGTGTTAATCCTCACATGTAAATGGACATTTGGTCTGTGAATCTGGTAAAACATCAATCAAAACCATTTTACAATGCAAACATGTAAGAGGAAGTTAACTTCTGCAGAACTGGTTGCAGAAGAGATACATAATCTTATTTACTACTGAACAAAGTAGACCTGACACAGTGATCATTAAGCCAGTAAATACTGAGACAAATAATGTACTTTTAGTTACCTTTCAGAGTTCTTGCCCTGAATAGGAACCTGTTTCCCTACCAGCTCTTCATGTCAGTGGCTGAGACACATTATCTGCAATTTGTGCATGCATTGCTGTGCAATACACATACTGCTTGTGTGCAATTTCTAGCAGAAATTGGAAACAAGCAGCACTATGTTCAATGCTCAGGTTCAGCAAATATTTAAGATAACGCAAGCAGGTTCTGCACACAAGTTGGCACTGCACCTAATTTTACACAACAGTACAAAATAGATTATCTTCCAAAAACATAAAGAGAACCATTTATACTTTTTTGACACACAACAATTTCTATCTACAACACCCCATCCAAAAAAAAATGTGTTGCTTAAAGTCTGCCATGTACTTTCATGAAATGTGTGACAATGCACAATTTATAATGACATTTTTATGGAGGAGAGAGCATTTCAGTGGATATACTGGATAATTTAGAAAGACCTCACATGTTGATACACAGACAAAAAGCATAGCCCTTTGAAAGTTATGAGATGTACTCATTTGATTTGAATATTGGCAATGAAACACTGAGTTATCTTAGCAGTTTTCTCATCCTGAAATTACACACTTTGGTGTATTTTACACTATCCCATCAGCTGCTGTAAATAATATCCATCTGTTTAACTACTGCATCAGTCAGAAAGCCTTAAATGGGCAATAAACACTACATTTTACTTTAGGAATATTTATCACACGGGAGAGTAGCATGAGGGCACTCATAATTTAATTCAAGGGAGTCGGTTAAAATGTTTTTCTAGGCTGTTTGAACTGATTCATAGAAGGTAAACACATCTAAGGCTGGAGGTTATATAATTGATTTGATAAATACAGAAAAGCTGTAACATAGAAAAACCTTTCTTGCAAGGTTTAGGAAAATAAAATAAAAGCTTTACATCAAAACACACTGGTTACATGTGGCATCCTTTCAGTCTCATCTGGCATAGTGGTAAGGAACTCTGTTGTAGGTATTTGAAGGAAATGTGGCTGGGCATTAAATCACACTAGTATTATTCTGTTAATTACATCATCATATCTTTCAGCTGACTACCACAACTGAGGCTTTTTTAATGAACAAAAATTTTTAGGTACAACACACAGCATGCAGTTAAAAAAAATATATTTGCAGAGTCAAAGATAGTGCTTTATGCGCTGTGTTATGATTGCCATCGAAGCACTAATTTGGAGAGTAATGGATGCACAATATCCCAGATACTGTCACCTTGGAATCTGATTACCATAAGCAGAAGCTGTCTGGGAGATGAAAGGATTATAATGACTTCTAATTAATATAATTCTGAAGTGAACAATTGCCCATCTCCAATCTTTGGAAACATCCATTTTCAGTGAACTGTTCACTTCATTACATTGAAATGACCATTTATTTTCCAGTCACTTTATGTGTGTAAATAGGCATTTCATCAGCTTTAAATGACAGCTCTTCAGACTTTGGAGCACCTTCCTCTTTCATGCAACAGATCCATGTTTCTTTGAGTGAGAAGATTTCCAAAGCTTTGCAGCCAGAGATCCAGCACCTCAGAAAGATTTTGTCGGGGAGGCTAGTGTGTCAGCATATCCCAGATATTTGCCCATCCCTGCCCATGACCAGCTGACATATGGATCTTTGTGAACAGACATATGATGACATAAATTAGAGGTTCCCAAGTCCCTCTACACTTATGGCAGGGCTGCAGTAAGAACAGCTGAGGTTTGAGGAGAAGAAGCTGTAACTGGCTACTTGACAACTCTCTCCTTGTCCCAGTCAAAAGTATCTTGGCAGAGGAGAGACTCTTACCACGCATACAGGGTAGTTGGTGGCAGGGAACTTGAAAGAGATGAAATACAGTGCTGATCCCACAGCCAGTAAAAATGGACTTAGCTTTACCTTAGATGTGAAAAGAAGCCTACAACAGATGCTAAGAAATACTTTAATTTCCTTTCAGATGTGGTTTCCTTGTGCTTGAGACCATTTTTTGATTATGGATCCATGTGGGATATATGCAAAATGTTCATACAACATGCTCTATGGCTTTGGAAAGAAGGGCTGTTCTGCTGGAAGATAATTCAAACAGTGGAAATATAAAACTACTCACAACAAGTCCATGAAAAGGATCAGAAAATGAACATACCCAGCCACAAGTGACCATTTTGACCCCTTCAGCTTTAATTTTTCATGTTTCACTTATAATAAATTTTCAAAACAAATTAAAATCTTGCTCTTTAGTTGCCCCCCAATTCTGAGTAAATATTTTGCTTGTAGTCCTGTACAAAAGTTCTGCATGGTGCATTAATGTCCTAAGGGCAATAATTTCTTACTGAAACATACTCAAAGGCTAATACAAAACATAATTGTATGCAAACATTATTAAATATTAACAGTGATTTTCCTTTTCCAAGAAAATAATAGTATGACAGTTCAGGACAAAATATAAAAAAAATATCAAAAGACTGCATGGTCCAAGAAGAAAAAAATTTACAACACAATGTTTTGTTTGCTCTTATACTCATCTAGCTTCCTGTCATAGCTGCAGAAGATTCAATGAGCACATCATATATCTCTGGCATTGCTAAGCCTGAGCAGCTCCAAATATAGAAGAAAGATTGAAAAACCCTGATCTGATTTATCTGAAAAAGTTTGCTGATTTAAAAAAAAAGTTTACCTTTGAAAACGCAACAATTTTCAGAGAGATTGTTGCCAGGTACAATGAGTTCATAACAAAATCCATGAGGTTCCACCAATCATGAATGTAGTCCTGCAGTCCACCATCCCACATCTGTTTAATTTCACCCCAGATAAAACCTGTAAACAGAACATAATTCATTAAGCATGAATATTAAATAAAAGGGCTGCAAGTATTCTAGACACTTATGATATATTGATTCTCCTTATAACAAGCATAAAGGGAAAGTGAATAAGTGCTCTAAATTGTACATATAGTTAGGTGGAATTTTATCTTCCCATTAATGTTTCCAGAATTAATTTGTCAGGCAAAACTAAAACTAGAAATAAATTTAAAAAATCATCCGCCTGTACAAGGGCAATTTATTTGGCTTTCTTCAATCTCTTTTCCTGTTGTATCCTAAAAAGTATAAAAAGGGTCTTAAAAACAGTCACCACTGCCAGCTCAATCCTTGACAACTGATACAATATAACACAAACTGGAACATTTATGACTGCAGGTGTCAATCTAACATATTAATTTATTTCAATTGGAACCCACACAATAAGGAAGAGAATTTCTGTTGCTATTGTCAATGCTGAACTGAAGTCTCCCTTTTCCTTAGGAAATAGTAGTATCTCCAGCAGAATATTTCCTGTAGATGACTTCCTCTGGGACATGAAGGAATTGAAACTGCTTTCAGGTGTGCAGAGCATGCATTGTGCTAGACACAGTGAAATAGAAATATTCAATTCAAATGGGAAATCTAGCAAGTTGCCTGATATGAACATGGTTTAACAGCTTCAGAGACAACTGTGTGGAGACTCTTTAATGCTATAAGCATCAAAATCTCCCTGAATAAGATACTCTACATTATTGCATAATATGGTGATAAAACAATATGGAACATTTAGATGCATATTTCATATTATTATCTACAGACCTCTTTTGATAACAATTTTTCACAGTTACTTTCTTAAAGGAATTTCTTACTTTTGTGCTCACTAGAGGGACAGAATTCACCATAAATAAGACCAGTCTGTCATGTATAGATGTCAAGATACAGTTAATTCAACATGACTTTTCTCCACCTGCTTATCACATGTTCTTTAAGAAAATGTTGAACAGATTTTGTGCAGTGACCTATAGAGTTTTGCATCTCCCTAGTCTGACCTTAATTCTGCTTGAACCTTTAACATTCTGTCTCAATGGTCTTCTAGCTGACTGGATGGAAAACTTGTGTGTTTTCTTAAACATGATCCCCAATAAGTAATTCTTGGTCTATTGTTCTTAGTGCAAGATAGGTCTTTGAGTTATTACAATTTAATTTTATAGTGTTTTGGTGTGAGGCTTTCCCAATTGCTTTCAAAAGGAAAAGTTCCTTCCTCACTAACTTCTCCCCTGAAATCTCATAGGTCATAAAAAGCACCTGTTTTGTGAACTGCAATATACCCCTCGCATTTCAGACACTGCTCTGAATCACTCCTGCTCCACCTGCAGAATAGCACATAAAAACCACTGCTGTGCTGCAGGAGGAGACCTGGTTCAAGGCTCAGAGGAGACCTGGAGCCAAAGGCTGTGTAATATGGATATGGCCCTTAAGTCTCAGTGTTAGAGAATAGTGCCTTGCACTTTTTCATTCAAGAAATACAGGTGTAGTCGCCGCATATTGACTCTGGGAAGACTGCTACGGCACAGAGAACAGACAGTTGCATTGATAGAAGATCCCCAAAGAAAAAGGCTTTGCAGAAATTGATACATACATTCACAGAATTAAGTAAACTTTTTCATATTTCATCAGAGTTAATGTTCTATTTAAAATATGCTTAAAAACAAGAAAAGAAATAGGTTGGGATGATTAACAAGATGAATGCTTAAGCAAGAGGTTTTAGGTTCATTAAAGTCTTCTGCCAAGATACTCCATGGTTCACAACCAGCCAAAGATGTGAACTGATACAGACCACAACAGGGATGTTCTCTGTAAGACTGTTGTTTAGCCTCATATACTTTGATAGCACTGCTTAAAATCTAAAAGGATTCTGTACCGATTGAAAGAGAAATGCTGACTAATGCTGTTGCATTTGATTCGTTTTGTGAGTGAAAAGCCAGACTTTTCCCAGCACTTCCTAGGCTTCAGAAAACGCAATGTAATGGTAAAGTTGACATTAACAGAGAAATACTGACCTATTACAGAATAGTGGGAGAGAGTAAATGGATGTTGTAAATTTGATCATTTTGAATTAGAAACACGACTAATCTAAGCTACCAGCAATTTTGAAATCATTTGACAGCTTAAAGTGCTGAGTATACTTTGACATAGTAAAGCTGGTGGTTCTAATTTTTTTTTTTTTTGTTCAAGACAACTTTTATGTTCATCCTGATGCTGGGCTTATTCTTTTCTTACATTATGAAGCTATTCTGAGCAATGAATCTTAGGGATTGCCAGCTGTCTTTTCAGGTTTAATTTACAGTCACATAGCTAGAGGTATTGAAATCCACTTGTAGATCATAACTGTATCTCTTTGCTAGAAGGAAAGGTTGGGGTGAAGAAGTCAGTCAACTCTTATTTTCACAGGGTCTGACACAATATGCTAATTTTGTTCTGTTACATTCATTGGGAGAATCAGGAGAAGACAAGGAAAAATCTATGGTTTTTTTTTAAGAAAGAAAAATACATTCAGAGATCAGAGCAGCATTATTTATCTCTGTGACCTTGCACACTTCCCTTTTCTATTTAGAAGACTTATAGATAGCTGCATACAACCTGACTTTATTGTGTAAGGCAGTTTCTTGGCAATTCCAGAATACGACCAGACATGATAGAGGAGGAGAAGACATGCAGTGGCAAGACTGTCTAACAGGGGCACTGTTACAGGTAGAAAAGAGATCTAGAGTCCAGGTACTGCCTCCTTATTAATGTGCCAAAGCAGCAATATTATCACATGCTGACAGAGCTCATGTCAGATCTTCATATTCAGCAGCAAGAAAGGTGATGTCTCAACAAAATAGAGGGGACATGACCAGCCTGCACAGAGGTATTTGGAAAAAATTGCTAAGAGGAACCAGCCAAATACAATGGGTAAATCTAAACGCGAGAGCCTTTTAGACAATCAGGTTGTGGACAAGTTCATTGCCCAAAGCCCTTTTTACTTCCCTGGAAGGAAACAAGCATGTCCAAGGCAATAATCCTGTCATCTGTAGGTGGGCCAGTCTTCCCATTGACTGAAAAGGGAGCCATGGAGGATCAGGCTGAATTAAAACAGATGTCTAACTTCCAGGTGCCTGTATTTAGCTGAACTAATCCCATCCAGAGCAGCTTTCACTGTTCTAGCTCAATATTCCTTGCACATTCTGTCTCTTTGCTCCAACTGTGTCTTTCCTATCTCTTCACACCGGCTAGATCTCACACCTGCCTCTTAAGACCCTCACCTACCCGTTCCCCATCAACCTGCTGTTAGCATTTATTGCCACTTACAAGGAAATTATCAACATTATGCATCTCTTCCACCTCATTAATCAAGGACTTATATTGAAAAGTTGAGGGTGAGACTTTCAAACACTTGCTGCATTGTTAATAACTAGATACTGGAGCAATAAAAGGGAAATAACAGCATGGATATTTTGAAACAGGCTGAGATGACACAAACAAATTTCATTAAATGCCCCATGGTTTTAATGGGATGAAATAGACATAAATTCAGGGCAGGAATCCCACGGACCACATAAGATCCTGGGAATGACAGGCACCATGGAAAGATTTTGTAGAGCACTGTGAATTATCACATATGCAAGCTGATCAGTGCAGCCATTTGACTGAAATCCAGTTTGCCTAAAGCAAGAAAAAAAGCTAAAATAGGTCAGATAAAACAAATTTGGCCAAAAAAATGGAATCTATGTGCTAAGTATTTTTTTAGGGAACACTTGTGAACATAAATTAAAAAAGTTCTTTCTGCTAAATTAAATCCTACATATTGTAAAATTAAATTTTATTCAAAGCAACAAAATGGACAGAAATACTTCTTAATGAAGAATAAAAGGCACTGAAATAAGAATGTTCTGAGAAAAATACCATTTTTCATGAGAACTACCTCATAATATTTTTAAAGAATCCTTAAGTAGTAGATATAATATATATGATCAATATGTAGGCACATCAATACATATACACTGATAAGACTAGCTTTTATTTTATATATTTATCTACAGGTTTAGATTTTGAAGCTGCATTTCCAGACTTGAAATCTCTGGATATTAAAACACTGAAATGTCTTTTCAAAAATGTGAACTTGTTTTTACTTTTCATAGATTAAGACTCTGTTGGCAAACCTTGAAACTTTGAGCAGGGCAGCAGTTAAATGCTCTTACAAATGTTCTATGTCTCTTTTTATACAGCCTTGGGTTAGACACAGTATCTTTTTGTGCAGGCAGGTAACTTTCAGATAGAAAACATTTTGAATCTATCCTGTTTGAACCATTACAGCTACCTAGACCTGAAATTTTACTGTTAAGGAACACGTCTCTTAGTCTCATGCAAAAGAAACAAACAACAAAGAAAAAAACTTCCCTATGAAATCCATTTAAAGATGTATTAAGTTCTAAGAAAAAAAAAAATTAGATACACCCTGTCTAAATTCCTATTTTGTACTGAAACTTGAGCAACTGCAAAAAACAATTTTCCAGTAACTGTAGGCATTCACAAATATTTATGCCATCTCCATAACACTAAGTTTTGTTGCTTATAATTATGGTTAAAGTCTCACTGTAAATAACAACATTGAAATTTGTCAGAGAAATATATGAAAGGCAGTATCCTGAACTATTTTTGGTTTCAAAAAGATTTGTGGATCCATAGCTAATTTTGGCCTTACCTTTCCCACAAAAAGGTTGGTTGTTCCATGCTATTTTTGTTCCTTACCATTAAGTGATGGAAAACAAGAGGTTCCTCAGGGTCAATCTCTGCATGCCAAGATCAACAACAACCTTTTAGTATGTTTCTTGGAGAACATATTTTTACTGGGCTGTGAAATCATTTAACTGACAAACTCAACTTTGCTCTACTATGTGGAGTTTTTCACAGATGAAACAAGAAATGAGACAAGCTGCTAATGATCTAAAGCTCTCTGAAGTCATATCAGGGAAT